AAAAGGAGAGAGATTGTGAAGAGAATGCAGACACCAGACAATAAATTTTTCTTTAATCGCAGGAGAATAAAGCACATTAGTCAAAAGAATATATGAATGACCATTACAGTTTCAAAAAGAAAGAACCAACAGAGATAAATAGGAAGGGTATTAACAAATCTGCATAGTTAAGAGTAGCTATGTCCTGGAATAGGAACAGGTTGAGCAATAAGCTTCCTTAATGAGCAGGCAAGGTGATAATAGCACCGGAATCAAACAGTCCAATCAGCAGTTTCAAAACTTGCACAACGTTGCATGAAGATGAGATTTTTGGGGATGGGCATTGACGGGCAACATGACGCGCTGCCATTGCAAGTTAAAAAACAAGTCAGAAGAACCAAATTAATTATTACGGCCAAGCATAAACTAGATTGAATAGTGTGCAAGAAGAATTGTTAGTTCCTTCGTCCAAAAACCAAAACTGATTATAACCACGACCTCCTTACCTCCTCGCACCCACGGCGACCTACCACCATAACTACCTTGTCCACGCCCGCAGAAGATGCGCCATAATGGGCAGTTGGTGGAACAGAAAGCATTTAATGACATAGAATCCAATTTCAATTGCGTTTCCTCCACTTAACAAGTAAACGCGTGAAGCTTCGTCGAAAGAGGATGGGGGTTGTGTTTTCGTGCTTCAATTGCTCGAGTAAAGGGTTGAATATTCAGAACCTAAGAGCCCCTCTAAAAATCACAAACTAAGGCTGCATCTGATATTGGATTTTGAAATGCCTCTAATTGATCAGCAAGAAAAACGAGCTTTCGTCAGTATGTATCAATCGAATCTGTTCCTCGAGAAAGGTATGCTTCAATTTGTTTTCGCAATGAGGAACCATGTGAATTTTAGCACCATGTAGAATAGATCTTGCAAGCTTATCCAAGCCTCTTTTTGCGGTTTTGGCAACGTAAAAATATGATTGAGCATAGACTCCAGAGACAGAACAATGAGCCAACTTCTAACAATCCTGATCCTGAATAAACCAAGTTAAATATTCAGATTTAGCTCAACCAGATTCGATTGTTTGTGATGGTTGAGGAAGCGATCCATCACATGACCCAGCTAATCGTACCCCATGAAGAAGAGGAAGAAGATGTGCTTAACCAACAGCAGATAAATTCGATGAATTTCAGCTTAATCGGTTAAAAAAGGGTGTTAATATTTGGGACTTGAAGAATAAGAGCAGCAACAGTTTTCAGCAAGAGGTAGAAGAATATCGTTGGAGAAAAGGAAAGAACTCAGACTTGGTTGAGTAGACATGGTGAATCAGATCAATGGACGGAGGGAAGAGAAAGAAAAAGACCCTTGCAGCTGGCTCTGATACCATATAGAATTTAAGAAATTCTGGGAATGGTTTTCTATTATTTTATTTGTATTGTTGTAGGCGTATATATAGTATACAGAATCTGTTACAAAGAGATAATGCTATAAATTATTTACATTTATCACAATATAACAACTATCCTTATCAATAAATTCAATACCTCAAATTGATAAAAAATTTATAAGCATATCAAATTTTGAGTATGAACAATTTATATTGTCCCTTAAACCCGGTTGTTTTTATCCATATCTTATCTCAATTACATATTAGAGGTAATCACGTTGTCAAACCCTAAATTCATTTGCCAACAGAAAAATTTATGAACTCCAATTAGTATTTTAGTTAAAATAATGGAGTAAAATAGATACAAATACAATACATATATTAACAAATAAAATTAAATTTCTCAAGATAAATTGTGAAATAAAATATGACTAAAACCTGTGAAAATGAAAAATTCATTAAAAAAATATTAGCAAGGGATTTAAGGTTACACCTTGCTAAAGCATATTGTTATTCGGTTATTAATCCATTGCCCTGATCTTGTGCCAAGCAGTTATTAAATTAGTAATGGAATTTAATATTCCTTGCTACAATATGTTTCTATAAAATTTACTAAGTTGTTGCTAATATTTGCCACCCAAAAATCTCCCCGAGAAAATTTAGCAAGGAGGTATATTATCCATTGCTAATCTAATTGCTATCCATTGCTAAAGCCTATCTAATAACTAGTGCCAAAATTCCCTCCAATTTAGCAAGGGATAAACATACTTTGGTTAAATTTCTATTGCTAATATGTTACCTACCCTAATCTAAAACTAGCGCCAAAATTTCCCGCCCAAATTTAGCAAGGGATAACACTTTGCCTTGCTAATATCTTTTGCCTACTTCCGTTGCTAAGACCTAGCTTAAATATCCACCACATGCCAAATTCCCACGACAATTTAGCACAAGATAGTAAACTTCCAATAAGCTAAAATCTCTGCTAATAATTTATTGCAAGGCTGTAAATGATACTGGTGCCAAAATTTTCCGCCAATGTAGCAAAGGGATAATAATCCTTGCTAATTAAATCTGTGAGATAGTTCATTGCATTCCGTTGCAAAACTCTAAAAGTTGAACTAACTTCCATATCCCTTTCCCTAAATATGTGTCTAATCTATGCTTAATTAGCATGCATTGATGGCTGTTGCTAAAATCTTCGTTGCTAAAAATGCATTTTTCTTTTTTATAATATATATATTTAAACGAATCAAATTAATACCGAATTATTTTCACGTAAGATTCCAAGGTTCAAGCAGATATTGCTTTTATTTATATATTATCAAATCCTAATTGAATTAAATATATTTAATCGAATTAAATTAGTCTAATTATTTTTGTGTAACATTCCATGCTAGTAAGATATTGCTTCTATTTTATATTTATTTAAATAAAAATATAAAATCCACATAGCATAATGGATTTGTTTAGACAATCTTGTCCTCTTTCTTCCTTCCTTAGCCGATGCGAGAATTCGCCTAAAAGTGGTCACGTCCACTCCTTAAAGGACTCAGCATCCTCCTACGTTTGTAAACATTCTAGACCTAACAAGATATTATTCACTTTGCGTCGAATACATTTATAACATATAAGACCTAGCAAGATATTAATTCACTTTGGATCGAATCCATTCAGGTTTGCAACGGATTTATTCTTGGGCTTGGAAACAACTCAATAGTCTAAAAGTCTCTCGTTAGTCTAAGACTTGTCATTCCTTATATATACACTTTCATCTTAATGCTTAAGGTGATATGAGATTTGTTAGGATCTCACATTTTACTAAACCGCATTGAAATAAAAATGGAAACAATGGTTGCATGAAGAAACTTTTGTCCTTTTGCATATTTTATTGAACTATTAAGCTCATCCATGACTCAAGCATCTTTCTCCTATTTTAACTGCATCAACATGTGCTTCCTAATGTATCCTCTTCTCAAAAAAATTAGAAACAGAACAAACAAAAAGAAGAAAGAACGAATGTCCCAAATTCCAAGTGCTCTTCATCTCCACCCTGGCATTGGCAACCTTGTCCCAACCGTTGAATTTGGCCAGCGTCTAATCAATCATGACCGTCGATTCTCCTCCAACCGTAACTAAATCATCTCTTATCCCCAAAGACCCAATCGTTAAACTCCTATATCCAATCACGCCCTCCACGTCCTCCGATATCCAATTCATCCCACCTGCCCTCCTGCAGACCTCATCCTTCACCAGATCATTACCAATCTTCGCTGGGTTAATAATTTCACTCTTTATCGAGAAACACAAGCTCATGTTTAAAATGCAATCGCTAAAATCCAGACTCAGTCTGAAACTCAGTCCGAGTTGCTGGGCTATTCGTTTGATATGTTCACTACTCCAAATGATTGATGTTGCTAATGAGCTTCATAATTCCTTGTTATATTTTATTTGCAATCTCCAGTAAGTTTCTTAGGGTTCATGTTTCATTTACCAGTTTTAGATACTCAACTCCGTACTTATGAGTTCAATTCATCTGACGATCCCTGACGAGCTGAATTGTGCCCAAAAGACTTCATCACTGAGTTGATCGTTCCTTGTTTCGCCAACACCGTTGCCTCCAGTTGGTGTTGCCTAACTTCAGTTTTTGAAAAGAAGCAAGATAGTCATTACTGGTTCTTACACCACGCACGCAGGTATAGTAGAAACGAAAGGTTATATAGGTTGTAAATACGTTCAAAGAACTCGAACCATAATGCCAATTAATTCAGTTTTATCAAACTACCTCATCTCCAGTCTACTCCGTTTGGACCGGTTCTTGAACCTTGCCCGGTCCGGTTCAATGGCACTCCACAGCGAGACCAACAACATAGCATCATGAAATGGCTCGATGGTCAGCCGCCGTCCTCGGGTGGTGTTCTTGTGCTTTCGGGGAGTTATGGGAAGTCTCGGTGGAGACCAGTTTTGCGAGAAATAGCGGTCGGTGGCTAGAGCGAGCAAGGTTTCGGTTCTTGTTGGTCCATTCGTGAACCCGCCTAAGGGTAAAAAAATTGGACCTTCCTGGTGAGTATACAGATGCTAGGGCGATACTTGCCTTGAGGGTTTATAGATCGAACGGTCTGGGATTGGATTAAGTTTTTGCGGTGGGTCCCACAAGTTGAAAATCTTGGCTCATGAAGCGATTGGAGGATTTGTATCGCACTGTGGGTGGAATTCAATACTTGAGAGTTTATGGTATGGTGTACCAATTGCCACGTGCCAAATATATGCGGAGCAAAACAAATGAATTGCTTTTCAATTAGTGAAAGAGTTTGGGGATAGAGCGGTTGAAATTAGATTTAGATTTATAGGATTGAAGGGAATGATTTTGGTGTTGTCGCGGTGAAATTGGAAAGAGGGATAAAGTCTTGATGGAACGGTGATAATGAGAATAAGGAGAAAGGTAAGGGAAATGAGCAAAAAGAGCAGAAATGGCTGTGAAAGAAATAATGGATCTTCCAACGCATCGTTAACATCCTTGATTGAGAAACTAGCGGCCGAAATTTGACTTCAAATTCTTTAGTTTTTATACGTAATTGATGTCTTGTTTGTCCATTTGGTATCAAGTGATGTCTTGGATTGTTAACTTTTGGCTACAAATGTAAAATATACTACTGTTTATTTAATTTAATCCTTCAGTTCCTGTTAAAATTTGATATTTTATTTATTTGTAAATTTTTTTTAAATTTTGGTAGAAGAATTAAGAAAAATAATTAAAATTAACAATAAAAATTTTATTCCGCTGGGAGGAAAGCATAAGGCCCAAAATTCTATAGAACTAAATTTTTTTTAAAAAAAAAAGGCATTTTCCCTATTATAAAAATTAATGAAGAAATTAAATTTTGAATGAGAGAAACAAAGCAACTCTATTTATAAACAACCTTTTCAAAAAAGCACTTGTATTTTTTGAAAAATGCAAGAAATAAACTATTATTGGCCAAATTGTAGCACTAAATAGATATTATCCTCTTTTATGTTCACATAAGGGCAGTTCTGTATTGAATCGAGAATAACTAAATGATCAAAGATGATTCTAATTATTACATTTCACAAGGCGAGTATGCAACCCAACTTACTAAAAATCAAAGAATGTAACCTAAGACGAAACAAAAGCTGTTGCGAACAAACATGATCAGCAAGAATTATAAATCCTTTATACTGCATCTATACCAAAAAAGTACATGGCTCTATAACTTAAGGAGGAAAATGAGTTCTGGGCATGTACATAGAGTCATTCATCTGAAACCTTGAAAAAATGTATAGGAATAAAAATTAATATTGTTATTCCGTCCATTCCTAGGATCTGTTTCAAATTCTGGATCAATGTTAAAAAGAATACCTGCAAACACAAAAATAGACTATTCATCGAATGTTTTCAACAGATGATATTGAATCTTAACATTATAAAAGAGTTACTACTGCGTAAAGGATGGTGGAGAAACACTAACTTACAGGCATGTCAAAATCTGCTCCCGGGAAAAGAAAGCCGCTGCCCTCAAAGCAAAAGCACTGGTCTTTATTGAAGTACAACTGCAGCCTGCAAAGATTGCAAACTAATGCTGAAAGGTTGTAAACACGTACACAAATTAAGTAAGGATTAACAGGTTAAAGTATTAGGGTGAATATTTCCTGCTCCAAAAACGAGATGTTTAAACCGATTCTAGCTTTCCCTCTACTGATAAAAACAGCATGGATTAAGATAGTAATTTCATTTCTCATATGGGGTTGGCTAGTGAGGTTTTAAAATCTTCATATATTAACTTGAATAAGTGATTTTTCAGTATGGTAATTTTAAAATAGTAAACCATTTGACTTTTAAAGGTCCTTTCAGATGAAATGTTCGAATATTCACATTGATTTGAATCGATCAATACAATCTTTACTAATTTTTAATCATTTTGAGTAAAGCTCCAACAGAAATAAAGATATTTTTCAACTTAAAATTTAAAGATAGGGAAGTACTTTCTTCAAAAGAAAAATAAAGATGAGAACTCAAACGAAATAGACAATGGGCAACATAGCAAGCCATCAAGCAAGATAGACTTCAAGAAGCTTAATTATGCAGCATGCAGGACAGATCAAGGAGGCAAGTCAGGTGAAAGGGTTAAAGGTTAGTAGAAAGAACATAGAAAGTAGATAAGAAGATTGAATCTTTGTTGCTTCATCCTATTATTAATTAAAACCCAAAAGGTGAGGCATTCACGAAATGAACATTAGCTCAAGAATTCAACTGAGTAAAAATGGTACGATGAGCAAAAACAAAACTAAACAAAAAAAAAAAATAAAAAATAAAAAAAAAAAAAAAAAATAAAAATAACAAAAAAAAGCGAAAAAATAAAAAAAAAAAAAAATAAAATATGAGCAGAAAAACAAACAAAAAAAAACCAAACAATAAATAAAAAAAAAAAAAAAAACAAAACAAACAAGATAAAAAAAAAAAAGAAAAAATACAAATGAAAACAAAAAAAAAGCCTTTGAATAAAAATGACAGTAGAATGTGGTCACAGGCTGCTATCGCTCTGACTAAAAAATGAAAAGTAGAAGTGGCAGAACCTAACTCTTCCCAACCTCTTAAAACACTTTCATATCTACGCCATTTCATTGCTGCAATCATAAATTTTTGGTACATATCCATTTCTCTTGTTTTACTAACAGTATAGCAATCTTCTTATGGGTAAATTCCACATTATATTTTCCTCGAAAGATTTAAATTCTGCAGATAGTGTTTCCATTTGATTTAGAGAGATGCTTTAACTTTTAGCTCCTTACTCTTGCGTTTCTTACAATAAAGTTTCAAATATTCATTCCTTTCAGCTAATTTGATGCAGAGAAGTTTAACTCTCAAAAGTTAAATTCCAACCCTCCCTGAAGCCAAAACAAACAACCAAGGTACATGAATGCCAATGGTTCCCAAAAAACAAAAGAACTTCAGAAAAACAAAGAAAAAAATTGGTGAAAGAATGATATGAATTATTGGGCATGAGATAAGCAAGTGAAAATTTTCAAGCTATGCAAGTTGGATTTATTAATTAAGTGGTTTGAAGCCTACTTAAGAAATGTTAAATGGCAACCCAAGGCTTTCAGCTATGGGATTTTTTTCTTCTTTCCTCCTACCTTTGTGCCCCATTCCTTCTTTAAGAAAAAGAAAGATTTTAAAAACTGAAAACACCAAAATGCTGGAACGAGGCTTTTATTTAGATAAAGGAAGAAACTAAGCTTATAATTTGAGCTCAATTCAAGAGAGAATGACTTCCCAAATTTCAACACAAAAGCCCGAAAAATTAAAACCAAATACATATTGTTAAAAAAAAAAAAAAGAAAAAAGAGAGAACTTGATAAATTCACAATCACACAATCGAATTTTATTTTCAACTGCTTTCTTAGCTAATGTCAAGACTCAACGCACAAAAAAAAAAAAAGAGTAATTCCTGAAGAAACTGCTCCTTTGACATGAATGTTTGTACGGACACCATTTGGTTCCGCATCAATGCAATGTGGTGGAACGATAACACTAATTAAATGACATTTAAAAAATGCCCAAAGAAAATTTGCCGCCCGCATGCCAAACACAATTTTTCCTCGGTGCATATTTTTAAATCAATATGCTGCAACAGTAAAATTCAGCAAATTAAAAAGTAGAATGCTATCAGCCAATGACTAGGAGTTTCCAGCAAGAACGCAATTGTATAGCCAAAAAATATGAACAGGTTGTGGACCAAGTTTTGGCAAATAAATAATTATTATTAATAAACCTTCAGAGATATAGACTAATCTAATATATGCAACCGCGAATTGAATCATCAAATCGAACCATTCACTACATATTGGACATTAGCAAATTATGTGCAATCCAATTAATATAATCGAGTTGCACTGAATTTCCAATTGTTAGGATTTCATTTAATTATTAAAAGAATTTTATTCCTTCCCATGCTACTAAATAACTCAAGAAAAAATGGCCTGAAAATAAGTTATAGCCACCATTTTCCTTCTCAGAAGATCTCAATTATGGCTCCAATTATGGTCTCATTATGTCTAAAGGGAGCACAAATGCAGAACAATTTTGAAAAGTGATATGAAAGAGGCATTAGCCAAGGGATAATAATTATTGTAGAGAGCAGAAAGTCAAAATCAAAATTCACATGCTGTCAAAAAAAAAAAAAAATCCTAACCTTTCATTGGGGTTAACATTATATGTAGATACACCCGTTATGGGAGTTGAACTTCGATTTTCAAGCTGTGTAAAATGCAAGAGCACTTTCTCCTGGCTTACGCCTTACCTGAAGAGAAGAAAAAATTCCAGTGAAGAAATCCAATTTGCATGGAAAGTAATCTAGTTAATTGTAAAAATATATGTTTTTTATACAAGGTGAACCTCTCTTTGCGTGGGAAATTAAACTTCCATGGCATACCATCGGCCACATCAAGCATTAAACCTGTACCACAATCTCCCTGCAGACAAAAAAGGGGGGGGGGGGGGGGGGGGGGGGGGGGGGGGGGGGGATGATGTGTCATCACAATAATGCTTGTAGAAAATCAAAATAAGAGAGAGAAAGTGTTGCATATAAATCCGTGCCCCAAATCATAAGCACATAGAACTAGCCTATGTATGCACCCTAAGACATCTTCAGAATAGTCACTCTTAAGTTCAGTATTGGTCCCAGAAAGCGAAGCAATACATTAATTTATGTATCATTTTATCAGTGCTAGCAAGATACAATTAAGGAAGACAACACAGGTGCTTGGTCATCTTAAGATTTTGTAAGAGTAGACAGAGAAAGCCAGGTTCTTTAGAAAATGAAAATAATGCGATATCAAAAAACAAAAATTTGTAATAACTTATTCCAAAGTCTAAACTAGAATTTTAGGCATCCAAAGGAATAGCGTCGATCTGTCCACATTGCTGAAGACAAAAACACTGTAATTCAAAATAAAAAGGAAATGAAAACCTTTAATCAAAGCACTCACATATGAGGAGCAAGAGCAACTATATGAAATTTGCATTCAAGCCAGTACAACCAGTAGTTGCCGTGTCAATTAACAGGAAAAGCAAATGCAATATGACTGAATCTATAAAATGCCAATTTACTTGAACAATTCAACCCTGAACATACATTATTAAAAAACTAAACACATGTACAAGTGTAATTATTCAACAAGCAAAAACAATTCTTTCTATTCTACAACAGCACATGTACAGAAAAACAAAGACCTTCATGTGTGATATAAACCTGTTCTTTCGAAACTTAAACAACTTAAAATAATTTTTTTATTTCTTGCACTTGTATATCTGATTCATGAAGTAAGCAACAACCTCAACAAAAATAAAACACGCACTCTTTCTTCTAGAAACAAAAAGTTCCTTCCCCAATTTACTTAGAACATTAGAAAGAAAAAATAATATCCCAAAAAGGGAAAAAAGAAAAGAAAAAGACCTTGTAGTTACAGTTCCTTCTTTAGAATGCCGTACAATCTTCTCTTCAACACTCTAAAAAAACACACAATACATAGAATCCAATAGTTGAACACACAAGAAGAAGATAATATGAGCAACAGAGAAAGAAAGGAAGAAGAAAGACCTCCCGGCGCTGAATGGTGCCGCCATAACCAGTAGCTTGGCAAAACCTTCTATAAAGAGGAACAGCGGCATAACTACTCCCAACCATTGCAATAACCAAACCCGTTAGATAAATTAGTGTCTTTCTCGATTTCTGCTCTGTACTAGAAGCGTTGTAGGTAGAAAAATTCTTCTTAATACAACCATTGCCATGCCAATGACCGATTGGTGAAGTGTTGAATTCACATCTTGGTCTTGGAATCCGATTATAACTGCCAAAACTCGGCCAATAATGTGAAGTGCTCGTAGTCTTGTAACTGTTAGCTCTGTTGAAATCAAAAATTGAAAAATGAAAAAGAGAATTCGTCATTAAATCCAAATTCAGGATTGATCTAGGTCACGGAGTATAATTTACCTGGATTGAAGAGGATGATTTTGGGGTATGGATTTGAGGTGAAAACTTGTCCTAGCTCTAGCAACGGTTGACCATGACATGATTCTTTTTGAGGTACTTTGAATAATAATTTTGTTCACAAGATCAAAAATTTGAAGGTTGCATTCAGCCCGTTGCTTGGGTGCTGAGAAAGTGAATAAAATCGACGAGAAAATGAAATAGAGTTAGGGACTTGGGCGTGAATAAGCAGCGTATTTGATGTTTTCTGTTAAGTTTACAGCATCATTGGAACGGTGTCGTGTGGTAGAACTTTACCAAATTACACATTTTGTTGTGTAAGGGATTTCTGCTCTGTACTAGAAGCGTTGTAGGTAGCAAAATTCTTCTTAATACAACCATTACCATGCCAATGACCGATTGGTGAAGTGTTGAATTCACATCTTGGTCTTGGAATCCGATTATAACTGCCAAAACTCGGCCAATAATGTGAAGTGCTCGTAGTCTTGTAACTGTTAGATATGTTGAAATCAAAAATTGAAAAATGAAAAAGAGAATTCGTCATTAAATCAAAATTCAGGATTGATCTAGGTCACGGAGTATAATTTACCTGGATTGAAGAGGATGATTTTGGGGTATGTGCAATTTTGTCGTGTGGTAGAACTTTACAAAATTACAACATCTTGTCTGCCATGTGCAAGCCTAGGATGCCTTGAAACAATGAATCTTTGTCTTCCACTCACACGCCTTGGATATTGTCCACTATGTGCACGCCTTGTTTTTTGTCGCCATGAAACCATAACCATCTTCCATCTTTTCCAGATCTTCAAGTTTCCATCAATCCAACGAAAACATAACTCCTTCCTCTTGCCTGAATTTGTTTCCGTTTCAGCCATGGAAGATAATTTTGCTCACCTTTCTATAGATGAGGAGGAGGAGACTGGGCTTTCCCTTCCGAGGAGGAGACTGGACTTTCCCTTCCTACTCCTACTCATAATCCTCCAGTTGATCCGTATAATTTCTGTTTGGTTGGCATGTTTCTCACTTATAGCAGAGTCAACTTTGAGGCTATGAAACACACGCTAGCAGATCTCTGGCATCCTTTAGGCGGAATGGATATTCAGGAAGTGGGAGCCAAATCTCTTCCGTTTTTACAATGTGGTTGATATGGACAGGCTATCTCCGGTGGTCCTTGGTTCTTTAAATAACATCTTTCTTGTTTGGCAACAGATCCAAAGTGGTGAAAAACCCTTTGGAGATCCCTTATTGAAAACCCTTTGGAGATCCCTTTATTGTTGCTGACATTTGGGTCCAAATTAGAGATGTTCCGAATGGAATTGTGGATGAAGGAACAGCTAGAGAGTTGGGTGATTTCCTCGGATCTTATCTGGAATATGATTTTAAGACATCTATGGAGGCCGTTTTTGAATTCCTTCGCATCAAAGTGAAACTGGATATTAGGAAGCCTCTCAAATGTAAAAAGAAATTAATTGCTCTGTCTGGAGAGGTTTATTATGTTCGTTTTCAATATGAGAAGGTTTTCACGATTTGCTTTCTATGTGGCCGCATTGGTCATACAGAGTCATTCTGCGATCTTCGGTTATCTAAACCAAGAGAGGAACTGATTTTGGCTTGGGATGATAGTATTCGTGCTCCGGTGAGGCGTGGAGCGAGACGACAGAGTTCCTGGATCTGATCCTTTGGTGTCGCTGAAATTTCAGCAAATTGGACACTTAGAAATTGGACATCCGTTCTGGAAGGAGATAACACTGTGGTGAGAAATTTTCGTAACTCCTTTTACGGTACATCTTCAAATCTTGACGAACGAAGGCAATAACTCCGATAAAATGGAAGATGATTTTTTTGAAGAGGGCGGAGTTGAAGATGTGGCTTTATGTATCAGTGATGAGACTAAAAAAAGACAACGAATTACTCCTACAACTCATAGCACCGCTGCAGTTTCTAATCAAAATGATTCTGCATCTGGTACCACTTTGACCATCAATCAGTCGGAGAAACATACATCGGTCGATCCTGTGAGGCAGGATGGCCGGAAGCAATGAAGATCCTTTCGTGGAACTGTCGAGGACTTGGCAACCCTCGGACAGTACAAGCTCTATGTGACTTTGTTGCAATTTACCTTTGTTGCAATTTACCGCCTCTATTTATTTTGTTGCCTATTGTGGAAACTTTAGTTTCATAAAATGAAAGCTTGTTGACCTTTGTTCTTATTGTTGGCGTTTTTGATTCTGCTTTTTTTCTGTGGATTGTATTGGGAGAAGTGGTGGTCTTGGTTTGCTTTGGAAGAGTGAAGTTGATGTTTCCATATCTTGTTACTCAAATAATTTTATTGATTCTATGGTTCTTTATTCTGGTATTTCATGGCGCCTAACTGGTTTTTATGGGTTTCCAAAAAGATGTAGAAGGCAGGACTCTTAGGACTTGATTAAAAATTTATCCCGTAGACATAATGGTCCTTGTTATGTGTTGGGGATTTTAATAATCTACTGGCTGATTCAGAGAAGATTGGTGGCAATCAACTGATTCAGAGAAGATTGGTGGAAACCAATATCCTAGATACTTGTTGAATGGTTTTAAGGAGGCGGTAGTGGAGAGTGATTTATGTGATATTCCTGCTAAAGGCTATAAATTTACTTGGTTTTTAAAAAGATTTGGTCGAATTGTCACCCGTGAGAAACTTGACCGTGTTATGGCTAATAATTGCTGGTCCTGTTTATTCCAAGAAGCTTCTACGACTACGTTGGTTTCACCAACATCGGACCATGACCCATTGTTAGTTTCGACGGTTGAGGGTGAGGTACCTCGTAGGAAGGAGAGGAGGTTCCGTTTTGATAATGCCTGGCTTCATGACGAAGATCTGGTTGGAGTAGTTCGAGACAGTTGGTCCTCCTCCATGGGGTTTGATATAATGCTTCGTAAAAAATCTTGTATAGACGCACTGCAAAGTTGGGGTATGGACAGGAATTCGAGATTTTGGAAGAAAAAGAACAGCTTGAAGCGTGCTATCGATTTTGCCCGAGAGGTTGATCCTTTTGCCGATACCACAGGTTTAATTAGAGAGTGGGGCCATATTCTAGCACAGGAGGATGCTAGACGAAGACAACTCAGTAAACAATTTTGGCTGCAGCATGGTGATAGAAACAGTAAATATTTTCATGCTAAAATCAAAGCAAGATCTTTCAATGCTAAAATCATTCATGCTAAAATCAAAGCAAGAACACGCAGGAATTCCATTAATAAACTACAAAACGCTGCAGGGCAGTGGATTGAAAAGGAATGTGAGAAGCAGCAGCTATTTGTTGACTATTTCACTCATCTCTTTACGCATAATGCCACGAATTTTCAGCCCATTTTGAGATTGGTACGCAGTACAATAAGCGATGAAGATAATTGCATGTTGACAGCTCCTATCTCTCTTGACGAAGCAAAAGCAGCAGTTTTTCAAATGGGTCCTGATAAAGCACCCGGCCCGGATGGTTTGAACCCTGCTTTCTATCAGAAATTTTGGCCTTTAATTGGTGGGGATTTGGTAACTGCCTGTAACCATTGGCTACAACAAGGTATTTTCCCGGACTCTCTACAAGATTGTGTCTAAAATCCTAGCGAACCGATTAAATCTGTGTTACCAAATATTATCTCTTGCTATCAGTCTGCTTTTATACCTGGACGGCTTATCACTGATAATATTTTAATCTCCTTTGAAATGATGCATCATCTTAAGAAGCCAAGTAAAAGTAGAAGTGGAAATTGTGCACTGAAAATTGACATCAGTAAAGCCTATGACAAAGGTTGTTGGGCGTATGTTTGTGCCATGCTTGAGAAAATGGGGTTCTGTGCTATGTGGGTAAATTGGATGAAGATGTGTATGACTTCTGTAAAATATTCAGTTATTGTATGTTGTATGACTTCTTGTAAAAATATTCAAGTTATCTGTTAATGGGAAATACTGATTGGAATCTATTGTCCCCCGAAGAGGTTTACGGCAAGGGGATCCTATATCGCCCTACTTATTTTTGGTATGTGTAGAAGGTTTGTCACTACTCTTCTCAGAAGCGGAAAGGTGTGGTAAGATTCATGGTGGTAAAGCTGGTCAAGGGTGTCCCAAAATCTCCCATTTATTTTTCGCAGATGACTCACTTTTCTTCTTCAAAGCATCCAATACTGAAGCCACTAATGTTAAAGGGATCTTAGCTACATATGAGAGTGCTTCTGGTCAATCGATTAATTTTCAGAAGTCTGGCATTGCGTTCAGTCCGAATACTAGCATGACTGTGAAAGCCGATATCAGCCATATTTATCAGCCATATTCTACTGGCGTGTCAACCCCTTTGAGGGTGGTTTCTTACCTTGGGAAAAGAAAGAATGTGGAAGCATATAAATAGCTGGTCTAACAGATTTCTTTCCAAAGCGGGGAGAGAGATACTTATTAAGTCCGTGATTCAAGCATTGCCGGCTTATTGCATGAGTGTCTTTGAATTGCCTCTATGTCTATGTAATGAGTTGGAAAAAATGATGAATATTTTTTGGTGGGGTTCGAAGGGTAGTGAGAAGAAGCTCCATTGGTTAGCTTGGAATCAAATGTGTGGGAGTAAAAAAGATGGGGGCATGGGTTTTAAGGATCTTCATTGTTTCAATATGGCTATGTTAGCGAAACAGGGGTGGCATCTTTTGACTTCGCCTAATACTCTCCTTTATAGAGTTTTCAAATCTAAATATTCCGTGATGGGAGGTTGTTTGATGCACAAACGGGTCATCACCCTAGTTTTGTCTGGAGGGGTATAATGTCTTCTAACATGGTCTTGAAACAAGGAGTTAGGTGGAGGGTTGGCAATGGTCGGCGTATTTATGTTGTGAAGGACCCATGGTTACCCATTGATGGAGTCTTTTATGTGGAGGATGATAGTCTCTTTATTGATAATAATCTCCTGGTGAAAGATCTTTTGGTGGAGGGGGAGAGACAATGAGATGTGGCAAAGATTATTAATCTTTTTTCTTTGAGGGATATCCACACTCTTCTTGATATTCCCCTTAGTGTAAGAGATTTGGAGGATGAGCTGATTTGGCAATATCCACACTATTCTTGATATTCCCCTTAGTGTAAGAGATTTGGAGGATGAGCTGATTTGGCATTATGATAAGAAGGGTAATTTTAGTGTTAAATCTTATTACTATCTTGCCTTGAGGGTGTTGGGAAGGGGTGAGGAAAGCATAGAAGGTGAGGGGTGGGGGAGTA